GGGAGGGAGGGAGGGAGGGAGGGCTTTACGGGGTTGGTAAAAATGCTTGGTAATTACAGGGTTGATGGTCACTTTGGGGGTTCCAAGGTTCGTGGGCTGTGGGCTGCTAAGAAACTAGGGTGTGGGCTTTACCGGGCTTATTCTTTAGGGCGATCTAGCGAATCTAGCGTCTATTTAAGGTTTAGGGTTTAGGGTTTAGTCTAGTCAATAGGTTGCAAAAAGGGTTTGCATGAAGATAACCCCGGCCACGTAGGTTGGGTTATCCCCGTGGTTCGCCCATGAGGCGTCGGTGACGGTTCCCCAGCATAGGTCTTCTGCCGGGATCGGATGGAACTTGAGTTCCAGATCTCTTCTCGCCTTTGCCCCGGCGATGCACTTGTTGATGTCCAGGAGGTCTTTGACCTGAAGTGTGGAAATGCGAGCGGCCAGCATCGAAGCTGCCCCCGCCAAGTCGGGCCGACCCTCTTTGGCCAACCAAGCTAAGGAGCCCACTGCTGCGGAAGCCACCTCTTTAACCGTGGCAAGGGCCTCTGGGTCTTGTCTCCTTTCCCACTGAATGGCCATAGGCCTGAGACGCTCTTCTATGAACTTGGCCATGTCCACGCGGATTCCAAAGTCCGCGTCCTGCTGCAGCCGCCGTTGAACATGGTCCCTTCAGCCAGCTCTTGAAGCTTCTTGTACTTGCCGAATTTGAAACGGCTCTGCAACAGTCCGATTCCCTCAGCCCCTTGGCGCTGTAAGTGGGGCATGCCCTGTAAAAACTCATCCTAAACCACCGGATATGAACCCGATACGATCCCTATAAGAAGCCCTGTAAGGGCTTTCCAGGCTTCGGGTTTAAGGTTTCACAGTGCTTTAATCGTTCCAGCACTGTTGTACGATCTTATGTCCCAGGCTTTAGAGCTTGGGGTTTTGGGGCTTAAGTTCTTAGTTGATGGTGCGCGCAGTGTTATTGCTGTTGTACAAGTGGCGTCGGTAACATGGTTCTGCTTCTTGTTGGCCTCCCCCAGAAAAGACAAAGTGACTGGACTTCAGGTGGGAGGCACTGTCACTAACATATTTGTTGTGGTTTAGCTGCTAGTTTGTTTCGGATTGTTCTGAATGTGCAGAGTATTGAAGCACAGGTACCCAAGGGTTTCGGGGCATGTGTCATCTCAGCCGGAATCGACGTCGTCGTCGTGCTCGTCGTGCTTTTTCGTCGTCGTCGTTTTCGTCGTCGCCGTCGTCTTCGTCGTCGTCGTGGTGGTCGTGGTGGTCGCCGTGGTCAAGATCGTGGTCGTCCTCGTCGTGACAGTTCGTCGTGGTCGCGGTCGTGGTCGTGGGTGAAGCTACTGGTTGTTGAGGCCACCATGTTGCAGTGCGGGTAGGTTGGGCTTTTGGGACGGCTTGGAAGTTTAAGGGCTTACTGATGTGTGCGAGCCTGACCAGGAACGACCCTGCACTGGCTGACCAGGCACTGAAGGGCTTGTCATTCAAAGCCTGAAAACACAAGCTCTGAAACCCTAAACCTGAAACCTTCATGCCTTCACCCTCAAGCCCTACTGTTGATGATAGAAACCCTTATATAGGAAACTTAAACTATAGGAATGAAGGTATGTTCCTTCTTATGGGTAATGCGGGATCTATATCATCAACCCTATTATCCTATAGCTATCCTAAGCCCTAAATCGAACCTCAGAACGCGAAACCCCTAAACGCTAAACCCTACCTGGGGATCCACAAACCTACCGTTTCAAGGGCTCTACCCTCTAATTAAGGGGTCATAACCTACTATTTTGTAGGGTTTGGGGTCACGGGCATTATCCTATAGCTATCCTCAGCCCAAACCGAACCTCAGAACGCGAAACCCCCTAAACCCTAAACCCTATCATCCTACAGCCACGGTTTAGGGTTTAGGGCTTAAACCCTAAACCCTAAACCGTGGCTATCCTCAGCTCAAACCGAAGCTCAGAACGCGGATCTCCAGCGAAGCGCCTCTGTGACGATGCCAGAGCCTGAGGAGTCGGGTGCAGCCGTCGGAGCACAGACCTGCTTCAGGGATTTTAGGGTTTAGGGTTTAGGGGTTTAGGGGTTTAGGGGTTTAGGGTTTAGGGTTTAGGGTTTAGGGTTTAGGGTTTAGGGTTTAGGATTTAGGGTTTAGGGTCCCTAAACCCTAAACCCTAAACCCGGTGGAGTGGGGGATTCTACTTCCTTAAATAGGCCTTATTGGTTGGGTTATTACTGGTCTTAAGGCCCCCTACCCCCCCTCCCCCTACCGCCCTAAGGGTCCCTATGAGTATATGGTTTCGGGTTTGTGTCGACTTTTTGGTTCAGGGGCAATTACGGTTTGTGTGGCTTTATTGAGGTTTAGGGGTTTAGGGGTTTAGGGGTTTAGGGTTTAGGGTTTAGGGTTTGGGGTTTAGGGTTTAGGGTATAGGGCTTTATTTAGGGCCTACATTCCAAGGTTGAAACCATGCGCCCCTAGTATGGGCCGTTTACCCTGGGATCCTTATACACCTACAACAAACCCTGTATGTACCCTGAAGGATCCCTGGAAAGGCCTAAGGGTTCATATTGGGGGCCCATACTTCTAGGCTTAGATATATTGCATATGGGAGTAAATATGGACTCCAAACTGCCTGAACTAATGGATAATCCTTCAACACGTCAACTCCTTGTATTTCATGTCAGGGATGTTCCTGGATTGAAGGAGTTGGGTGCCCCCAAGGTTCGGGTTCAGGAACACCACCAACACTATTGATTTGCTTGTGTCTTCCAGGTAACTGCCAGTATTGCCTCTGCTGCATAATTAATTTCTATGCCATCCCTCTTAAGTTCCCCAAATCTAAAAAAACGAAACCCTAAACCCCTAAATGCCATAGCCCGAAGACTCAAACCAGAGATCAAGTTAGGGATTTAGGCTGAAGCTGGACGTTCGGCTCAGCGCGAAGCTTCGGTAACCCCAGTGTTTTTGTGTATATTCTACTCTAGGGTTTAGGTTTTTTTTTAAGTGCCCTGAGACTTTCTCCCTGCTGAGGTCCAGTCGCAGCCTTTTAGGCCAGACACTAAGAAACACAACAAAATCCTCCTCAGCTATCTTTGCACAGTATCAAGGGTTTAGGGTTTAGGGTTTAGCTATATAAGGTGACTAAGTGGGAACAAGATTCCCTAAACCCTGAACCCGACTGTTCGGTTTTAAGACCTCTCATATCCTTGAAGCGTGGTTTGATCCCTTTCCGGAAGCCTTGTATTGGAAGTGCTGCTGATGTGCCGGCTCCGCGTGCGCTCCGACGAGCTACGACGACCGCTCCGTTCCAACATGCCTTAAACCCTAAGGCCCTAAGCCCTAAACCCAACAACTAGTGTCTAGTTCTTGGCCTGACAGGTCCACTGGCTTTCGGATGATCGGTTAAGGTAGGAAAAAACATTGCAAGATGTCGCCCCGCCTCCTCCTCCGAAACATGCAGCGGCTTCAGGTGCCGCATCCAGGCCTCAAAGCATGAAGGCCTTCTGGTTTCAGGGTTTAGGCTTTGTTTAGGGTTTAGGGTTTAGGGTTTAGCGGCCTTTTCGAAGACAAATCGCCAAAATCAGCACTCTGGTGTAACACTAAGATCATCTTCCGTCTGGCTTTAGGGCTTGTGGTTCTTACCAGGTTTAGAGTTTTGAAGTTTAGCGATTGTTGGGTAGGGTTGGGGGTGGAATTCAAATAGTCGAAGCCCTGGCTAGCCGGCAGCTCGTGTGAGCCCCTGCTTCAGAGGTTCGCAGGCTCTTCAATGTATGCTCCGAGCCCCCAACCCCCAACATTTAAGCCTGTATGTGCATATGTATATTGTTACACACACACATATATGTAGTCCATATGGAAAACTGTATCGACTTCGAAAATACGTCTATGTACGTATGTATGGGTGTGCATGTATGTATGTATGTATGTAGGTAGCTAGGTAGGTAGGTCGGTGGGTGTATTTATAACTTCTTAGTATTCTTATTATATATACACGAAAAACAGGGCCTTGAACCCGAACTATGAACCCGGCAGCGATGTCAACCACACACCATGCCTTAATCAGCCTCACATCATGCTCATAATAGCACATGCTAGGTAGTAAAGGGGCCAGAATAAGTAGAACGGCAAAGTATTATGTAATACGGGAGCCTGCCGAAGAGCAACGGTAATTATTTTGGCGTCTACCCTAAACCCTATAAACCCTAAACCAATACTCACAACAGTAAAGTTACAACACAACATCCTACAACCTCTAAACTCCAAAAGCTCGTCGTGTCCACATCATGAACCCCAGAACCCTAAACCCTAAACCCCAAACCCCAAAATCCCCGAAACCCTAAACCCAAAACCCCCAAACCCCAAAACCCTTTAAACCCAAAACCCTCAAACCCCAAAACCCTAAACCCAAAACCCTCAAACCCCAAAACCCTAAACCCAAAACCCCCAAACCCCAAAACCCTAAACCCTGAACCCCAGAACCGGAAGCCTTCAACACCTCCTGGGTCTTTGAACAACCCGGCCGGAACGTCAGCCGAGCCGGTTTAGGGCTTAGGTTTAGAGTTTAATGTTATAAGGGTTTAGGGGTTTAGGGGTTTACGGTTTAGGGTTTTGGGTGCGGGGGAACCTAAGGGTGGCGGCGAATTCGCGCTCCTCTACAGGAAAATTCTACGGCGGGAGGATCAAGCTTCTCCGCATCGTTGAATAGGCCCTACGTACACTTAATGTAGGGGCCTAAATAATTAGAATAGGGTGTTGGGGTATATTATACTATCCCCCCAAAAAATAGCATAGGTAATTATTTGCCTCTATATTATTAGATAGATACCAACCATACCAACCCAAATCCCGAAACCCTAATGCCTGAACCCCAAATCCCCAGTGCTTTACGCTGTAAAGCACTCTGCAGAATACGGAAACTTGTGATTTTACACGAGTTCGGGTGCCTGTCACATCGTGACTCGAAGCATATGCCACAGTTGTTCATATTTCGTCGCCTTCTTTGTGAATGAATGGCACCTAGTCAGATACCCAATAGGAGTTTAATACTGACAACCTTGTAGCAGGGATCGGAGTGCAGAACAACCCGATGCTTGTAGCCCAAAAGCCCCGACACCCATAGGTTTAGGTTTGGGCTTATCACAAAGTTGAGCGTTTAGGGTCTAATGCAAGGGCCTGTACAACTGAACTGGGCCGTGCGGTACATGGGTTTAGGGTTTATAGGGTATAGTATGGTAGTGATAAAGGGATTACAAGGAGATACTACTGCTAACTACTCCGACGCCTAGATTATTACCCTACAACCCTAGAGAAACCCCAATAGAGCCATTTCAGACATTGCCAGCTATGAGGGGATCCTGTGATCCTTTCATTTCAGATTCTCTTAACTCCACCCCTTAAGCCTTAAGCCTCTATGAAGCCTTACAATCTTGAAAGTTCTAAAAGCCTAAAACCCTTGGGATCATGTTGCAACGCGCACACCTGTTCAGAATACCGTAGAGTCCTCAAACCACACTGACACTAAACCGTAAGCCCTAAACCTCAAACTCCAACTCTAAACTCCAAGCCCAAAGCCCCAAAGCCTAGACTCAAGACGCCAAACCCACAACCCCAAACCGTAAACGCTAGACGCAAAACTTTAACACCATAAACGTTAAGCCTTAAACGCTACACCCTAAACCCTAAGAGAACTCCGAAGCCGCATTTCTCGCCCCGCCCTGCTCTGGGCTGCAGGCGGGCTCCGGACCTCAATACACAAATGTGCGTGTATGCGTACATGTTTGTGTCTGTAAGCATACAGATAATACAGATGTAGAAAAAGTTTCGACGTAACTGTATGTAAGCCGACATTTATGTATGTGTACGTACATGCATGCATGCATGCATGATGCAGGCATGATTGCATCCATCCATCCATCCATCCATCCATCCATCCATACATAGACACATACGTACGCACATAAATAATCCGCGTGTGAGGTAGAAATGACATAATTAATGCCAAACACAGAAGGAGATGCAACAACTGTGAACATGGCTTTTAGGGTTTACAAGCCTATACACACCTCATTAACCACCCAGATAAAACCCTAAAGAGGCTGTATAAACCTCCTAAAAAGCCCTGAATGGGAAGCCGCAAAAAACCTCCATGCCCCGTAAAACAAGTAAAATATGGTAGCTAGGCGAACCAGGCCCTGAACTTTAACTTACACCCCAAAACCCGAATCCTACAAAATAGTAGTAGATAAGCTTTGAGATCCTGGCGACCCAATAACCAAAACTCCCAACCCTCCGAAACCCTAAACCCTAAACCCTATAATCCTAAACACCAGAAATGAATAGCTAAGTTCTGATATCCTTGCTGCGGCCCAAATGCCGTTGGCCCACCAAGCGTTGGGCCTTAATCTGACCACCGGACCGGGGGTTTTAAGGTGGCGTCTAGGGTTTAAGGTTAGGATTTAGAGTTTAGGGTTCAGGGTTAAGGTTTAGGGTTCAGGCGTGAAGGTTTACGGATCAGACTAGATTACTTCATGGTTTAGGGGTTTAGGCTTGTGGGGCTGAGTGCTTGGCGCTTGCGGGTTGAGGTTTTCATGTTTTACGGCGTTTGGCGCATGATGGGCGTACAATTCCTCATTTGGTTTTGCCGATTTTGTAAAGATCTTCCAACATCTCAGAAACCCTAAACCCTGAACCCTAAACCCTAAACCGTAGTATGTTTTGTTTTTGTTTGGGCTTCGCTGGTTTTCTAGACTCCAGACGCTTTACCAAGGCTCTATATGGACTTGAGCACTTTGGGTCTGTAGTCAGAGTGTGGGACTTACCGTAGGTTCATACGGTGTAGGGTTTAGGGCGTAGGGGTTAGGGTTTAGGGTTGAGGGTTCAGGGTTGAGGCTTTAGGGTTGAGGGTTTAGGGTGTAGAGTTTAGGGTTCAGGGGGCTGTGGTGACACTGCTGGAGGTGTCAGAGAGTACTTTGCAAGCCTAGGGGCTGAGTACCCTAGCCCAAAACAGGGCAATAACCTTTTCAATTATGGTAGGGTTAAGAAAAGC